GGGGGTTATAACAGAACTCCAATAGCCGGTATAACTGCCCTTCCGCGTAACACACCAGCTTCGCAGGCACGCGGCGCGGCGACAGTTGGCTACATTAAACCAATCGACTTGTTACACCTAACCCTTGAACATCTAACTCCAGACATTGTTTAAAGCTATCTAATGACAATGCCCCTACTGTTTTTGGTGACAGCGAGTTCCACTCTGCGATAGTTCTAGGAAAGAATGAATTCTTGAACACGTTGGTTGATAACTCTAGTATACGTACTTGAAGGCATGGCTATTTCTTGTTCTCTTCTGGGCTGGTATTAGGTAATTCTTACATACCGTTCAGAAACTGCCGCCCGAACTCCACGTCGTTGTGCCAGTCCTCCATGATGTGCGGAGAAATCTTACTCGTGACGGAATTCGCCAGGTCCTTAAAGTCGTCCAGACTCCGGAGAATCCCGAAGACCCGCTTGAAGAACGTCTTGACGCTCCCGCGTTTTGATGCGGTGCCGAAGTCTCGCGATTTCTCGTCCAGGAGTCGGACGTCTCGCGGGAGGTCCTGGTTGGTGACGCCGTAGAGGTGCCCCGGGCAGCCGGGGATGCTGTAGGACCACTTGTACCTGTGGTCCCAAAAATAGTTTCATCAGGTTGGTAAAGTATAGGATACAAGTGTTCTTATTTTTTTCTTAGTTTGGGATTGTATTCTCGCCGCAAAAGTGCCATCGACATCGGCGAGAAGCAGAACTCTAGTCAGAAGCTCTGAGGAAGGTGTCTGATAGACACTGAAACGTCAGCACTCTAGGTGAGAAGTTGTGTAAGGTTGTGTAAATAAGAACACTTGTACCTGTGTGTAATGGTATTCAAATGTATCAAAGGCCTGGCACCTACATATTTATCAGCCATCTTCTTCATACATATACAACACCAGACAGACCACCAAACTGCACATACCCAACTACACCACTGGCACTGCAGACGAAGACAGAGCCCCCTTATAAGCTTGGCAATCAGTAGCCTGAGCGCCATCCATGTATAACGGGACTCCCATTTTGTTCGAGAGTGAGTATGGGAGCCCCAGTGTACAAATAGGATGGCACCCAGGCTAGGAAATCAGCACTAGCTGTGTTGAACAGGACATACTTGAAGTTGAATAAATAAATACGTACCTCCGCTGCCGGTCCTGCACCTCCAACTGCCGTTCCGCAGCCAGAAGGTCGTGAAACTCGTACGCGTTTAGACAGGCTGGGCGAGCGGGGATTTAAGAAAAGGGCGTTTTAGGAGACAAATTAAGGTTGATTCTGGTTGGTGAGCGACTCTTTAAAAGTCCCTTTTGAAGCTACGAAACTTCTCGAAAACAGATCGGACCAGAAACGGCTCATGCTGGTCCCAACCTGCAGCTTACTACGGCAGAACTGAGTAGAGAAGATGAAGACAATCATCCACGGGCCATACTTCAATGACGGCCAAAAAAAGAACATCAAGAACATCTACTGTAGGTATGAACTTTAATAAGCCTTAAGCCTTGAGCCTTACCGTGTCCGCTCCGTAGGACGACCCTGTCCCTGATCCAGCGATGGCACGGGAACTCGTACCGCCGGCCCCGCTTCCTGTCGTTATCAACAACATCTACTACATGTAGTACTACTGCTGGGAACTTAAATTCTTACCGTGTCCGCTCCTAAGCACCACCCGGTCCCTGATCCAGCGGTGACAGGGGAACTCGTACCGCCGGCCCCGCTTCCTGTCGTTCACGAACACGTTCTCCACGTACCAGTCGTGCCAGAAACCCTTCGAGCTGCTTTCCAGTGTCACCAGGAGCACCTGGCGGGCCAAAAAAAAGTTCGCTTTATTATGCAGAACTGTGCCTATCTAAGAACATAGATAGCTGCTCTACAGCGTCACCCGAAGCATCAGTGGCAGACATACAAGTGGCCATTGTATCCAGAACCCTGCCTATCTAGTTCCATGCATTGTATTCAGAGCCGTGTCTATCTAGTTCCATGCATTGTATTCAGAGCCGTGTCTATCTAGTTATCTGCCATAATGAGTTATATGGCTAGGGTCAGGCACGATTCTGGATAGTCCTCGCGTATCCAAGAAAGCAGATATGCCCCATGTATGGTTCTGGATACGTTCAGGCTATCCAGAACCTTGAGGCCTGTATAAAGCACAGTTCTGCATGCAACAATGTGCATCATTTTATGCGCTGTAGCTTCTTCGTCTCTAAAGTCGCCCCATAGCGAATGATTTGGCCATTTGGGGACATGAGAATGTATTTATCGGGCTTAATGCTAGAATAAGTACCCATACATGTATGTAGGTAATTACAAACTCAAAAGGTGACAAATGCATATCAACCAAACAAGCAAAGTCAATTAACCTCCTCTACATCCACAGACTTGAAGTGGAACCGGCTGACGGCTCCCCTCTCGAATTCGTCGAAGAAAGACTTCTCCATCTTGATCCGGTCCGTTCTGAGCCAGGTTCCCGTCAGCGTGATCCAGACGTCCGCCGTCGTCCCCGCGCCTCTCTGCACCCCCGTGTGGAACTCCATCGCGTAGGATCCCTCCGCCAGATCTACCGGCAGTTTACCTGTTAAAGACCAAATGGGTGCACAAAAGTCTGTAAGATACATACAAATATTGGAATTTCGAAGTGTTATATTTATTTATTTCATTTTAACACACCTGGGTAGCCCAACTCAGCTTTGACAAGTTGATTTTCAGTGGGGCCCAGTTTACAGAATTCATACAATTTAGTGTACATACAATTTAGTCACTAGAAGTTTGTTCCAATCATGATGACTGAGAAATTGAGCTTGTGCGGCCTTCTACAGGTAAGGAACGTACGTTAAAGGCATCCAATGCGATTTCAGAGCAGCAAAACTGGAAATATTCTGAAAAAGGAAATCTTTGTGATATTGACACGTAATAAGATCCCTCCGCCAAATCCACTGGCAGTTTACCTAGCTATTAAATGGAATATGAAATGAAATACCTTTATTGTACATTCATGCCACGACGGGCTAGGCACAGGTCAAGACTTAACAGACACATAACAAACGTAACTATATAGAAAAGTGAAGACAAGAGATGCAGTACTTGACTTAGACATACATACATAAGGAACTTACAAGGGTACTATACTTAGGCTAATACAAGTGTTCTAGTTACTGAGCTAATACAGAGTGATCGACTTCATTAAAGGCATCCAATGCGATTTCAGGGCAGCAAAACTGGAAATATTCTGAATAAGGCAATCTTTATGATATTGACACAAACTGCTTCACATTAGCACATTTGAGTCAGCATTTTGTACTTTGGGTTGGGTGTGACGTCAACACTGGGTCAAAGGTATCTGGTAGACGATGTCGGCCCCCGTCGCGGTTCAATGAAGGGTGATGGGCCCTGATGTATGTGGCTTCCTTCACCCCTCTCAAGAAATAGATACCAGATACCTTTGACCCAGTGTTGACGTCACACTTCAAAAAAAGCCACGTGACAAGCTTCACTGGGTCAGTCTACTGAGGAAGACCAGAGTGACTGGTCGAAAGCTCTAGGTGAGAGAACTTTCTTTGTGTTGAGTATAAAGCTTTAACTCTAAACAAAGTTGATTTAATTTGTTTCGCTTACCCTCGCCGGGTTTCATTGGTCGAGCGTGCAGGTCAGAGTTCAGGTGGGGAAGACTATTATGGTCTTGGCTGGACTTGGGTTCCAGGAGGCCCAAAGATGGCGGCTGGATGGAGGGGTCGAACACCGTCCTCTCCAGGACGCTCTGGGGGAGCAGGTTGGTGACGCACACCCGCGCCAACTCCAGCCACGGGTGCGTCTTCGGGTCCCAGATGCAGGCTGGGTTGAAGATCTCGTACGGGTCTCCCTCAACCTGTATTAAACGGACATGACCCATACATCCGTGAATAGTTTCATCAGGTCGGTAAGAGTAGTAAGATACTCTTTTTTACACAACCATGTGTTTTATTCACAGCCGACGTAAAAAATGTCAGAGTAAAACTCCGAAACTCGTGCGGATCTCCCTCAACCTGTAACGGGCATGAGCCATGCAATTTCAATAATAAACAAATAACAGAAACACGACGCTTTTAGCTTTCGTTTCTTCTAGAATGAGAGTTTTGACTGACGCTTCAACTAAGTCTCTTATGAATCCTTTTGAAACGTCTTGTTAAATACCTTTAGCCAGATAGCCATCCGATTTGTTACGGAACCCCCATTACAAATCGGATGGCACACAGGCTACATAAATCGGCGAGAAGCAGAACTCCAGTCAGAAGCTCCGAGGAAAGTGTCTGATAGACACCAAAACGTCAGCAAGGCATAAGAGACAATCCTGGCGGTATTCAAGAAAAATATCTGAGACAGTAAGACTGTACTTACCCACTCGTGCAGCTGGATCTGCAGCCTGTACTCCAGCAGTGACCGCTGCAGCTCCTGCGCAAACTCCGTCCTCAGGTAACCCCGCGGCCGACGCTCCGTCATGTCACGCTCTGTGTACCTGGAAAACAAATAAATAAACAATAACCAAAATAAACAACCGGTGTTGTCATGTTCACATTCGCAGAAGGAAAACATTCTGTTTTGCTCTATTGCTTCTTCTTCTTACGTTTTAGCAAATAAGGTTAATGATCTGGACCAGACAGTTGTCACTATGGCAACTGGTGCTGCAGCAGACACTCTGTGGTGTTGGGTTACATTATGTAGCAAGTGGCAGAAGAGAGTTGGATGGGCTGGTCACCAGATATAGTTGTATTTTTTTGGCAATACGTTTGAGTAAGAATAAAAAGAGCAGTAGTGTGTTACACTAGACCATCAGGAATGTGAAGGTAAGAGTGTAAAGTAAACATGGCATACCAGGGTTTGGGCTGTTCGTTCCTATCTAGCAGGCCCGTTTCGTGCACGTCGACGTCAGGCACAAGTCTGTACTTGACGTATCTCCGCTCGCCGTCCTTCGCCATGAAGCGGAACACGTGTTGGGAGTAGTACGTCAGGTCCGTGTAGGAGTTGGGAGCGCGTCTCAAAGAGTCGATAAGTGCATAATGTCTGGAATAAACGTTTTATTTTATCACAGTTATTAGTACAAAATGGTTCAATTGGCGCGGAAGCGGAAGGGTGCAGTACGTCAGTTCCGTGTACGAGCTGGGCGCGCGGCGCAGGGAGTCTATCAAAGCGTAATGTCTGCGGAGGAATTTTTTTGTGTGTTAACTTCTGTTCTAATTCTGGAACTATGATAAGTCTACTCGTTGCAAAAGGGGCGAAATCTGACCAGCACCAAACATCTTTTTCGTGTCATCTTTCTGACGCACAGTCAGTTTACTCTGATTCCAAGCAAAGATTTAGGCTTCGATCGGCTTATTTTCGAGGTGTCTTTATCGGCCTTTGTTTTTCTATCTTTGGTATCTGGTATCTCTTTTATGTCAGCTTGGTCAACCTGAAACTGTTTTTGCAACCACCAAAAGTTCTGCATGGGGATCATTATCAGATGAAGAGGCTAAACTTACCTGACCGGATGTTGCGCGCAGAAGTTCTTCAGTGCCCCTGCGGACCGCATGGCGGCAAGGAAGTCCACAGCCCCCTGCACGTCCCAGTAGGGCGAGATGGCGCCCGTGTTCATTATCAAGTCTAGAGGGCCTGTAGGTAAGGTAAAGTATGAATCAAGTACAGTACAGACTGTGCCTCTATAAGCTAAGTCTAACCCTAGCAAAGAAAACAACAAAAGGCGAGGAAGTCCACTGCCCCCTGCACGTCCCAGTACGGCGAGATGGCGCCCGTGTTCATGATCAGGTCCAGCGGGCCTGTACAGTCAGGGCACAGGAAAAAACAATTTTTGGCCCGTAACGATGTATTTACTCACTTACTTGGTTCTCTTACATTTTGTGGCAAAGATTTAGCATGGCCTAGTTGAGATACCAACAAATTTAAAGGATCCTGTGAGACAACAATCTAGCCCGGTGTCCAAACCTATTTTAGCTGCCGAGTCTCTTTCGTCCTCTCCACAAATAGGCCCAAAAGGACAAATAGGCCCAATGGCTGCTAAGATAGGTTTGGACACCGGACTAGTGAAACACAGGCTGCTGTACACAAAAAATAACAACAACAAAGCTACCCACCTCCTTCGCCGCCGTCGATGGCCATAGAGCAGACGATAATATATTAAGAAAACAAATTTGATCGGCATGATCTAGTAGAGAAACCAACATAAAAATCCTGGTGTCCAAACGTTACATAATTTTAGCTGCCGAATGTCTTTTGTCCCCTCCACAAATAGGCAGATGTTTCATGTAAGACATCACAAGTCTGGGCGTCTGGCCCCGCTTGATTCAGGAGGGCGAAAGAGACTCGGCAGCTACAAGTAAAATAGGTTTGGACACCAGGCTGGCAACACGCAGGCTGCTGTAAAGAAAAAAAAACGCACCTCCTTCGTCGCCGTCGAGGAACTTGATGGCCACGGAGCGTACGTCTGACGCGGCGTCGTCGGCCTGGGTGAGGTTGGAGTGCCGCAGGCGGAGCGGGAACACGCGCCCGGCCCGGAAGAAGTCGTGAGGCGGGAACTGCAGTTTTTTTATTCAGAAACAGTCATAAATGGAAAATTATGACAACTAGAAAGGTAACATTTGCAAAGCAAATGCATAATGTTCACCTTCGCATATGGTCTGCTCTGGTAATTCTTGCTCAAACACATTAACATAATGTTATATGGTGACAGGAGTTTTCTACTACTATAAAATTGCATTTTGTAACCCAACACCAGTTACCATGGTGAGAGACTGTCTGGTTCAGGGTAATTGACCAAGTCAGAGGTCAGTGTTTGGAATAGAAGAAGAAGAAGAAACAGAGCAAAAAGAATTAACATCCATTTAACGTTCTATCCGAGCCCTTATCGAAGCTAGGTACTCATTTTCATCTGAGCGAAGTGAGGAAACTCGTGTAAAGTGCCTTTCCCAAGGGCACAAGATCGGTGACAAGGTGAGGTTCGAACCCGGGACCTCTTAGTTCCGAGCCGAAGACGCTACCACTACGACCCA